TAAGAATGGATATACAATAAAAACACATACAGCAAAAAAAAATGAAAAAGAAAAAAGAAGAAAGAAATGTCAAAGCAGAACCTGAGGGAATATCATTGCTTAGGACCTGGATGTTGTTGAGGTATGGCCAAAAGAACAATAATGAAGGTAGCAAGGCGTCCTTGAGGAGTTAACTTGATGCAGTCTTGCCAGGAGCTACAGAACAGCTGGAGGTGGAGGGAGGAATGGGTGGTGATGGTGTCAAGAGAAAAGTATGAACTTTTGAGAATAGTGCACCTGAATTTAAAACTTAATTCTGGGGCTTATTAACCTAGTGGCACAAAAATACATCTTATTTCTCTGTTCCCCACTTACTTCCATGTTACAAAGACAATATCTAATCCAGATGGCTATTGTAAGGAAATATACATGGTCTGTGCAAGCCATTGAACTTACCAAGGGTAATTATACTCCATTCTATGGAACGGTTTAGAATCAAGATAAAAAAAAATCTTTCAACAGATGAAACAAAGCCATTTCTGATCCTGACCTCACGGCATAAGTACAATTACACACATACAGGGTTTTACTTAAGTTATAAAGTTAGAGTTGTCTGTACCTGATGAGGATGTCCACTTATTCATTTTATTCCTTTAGAATCTATCTCACACCTACATCTCCAATCTAGGGCTCTCCTGACCCATGTTTTCCCATTGTTAAACAACCATGTACTATTTGTTTTTTGACATGCTACTTCCAATATCTGTGTCTTAGAACACATCTTTCTTTGCTTGTCCTTCCTGATCTGAGGTCTGTGGGAATTACTTCTTCAAGGCTCCACATAAAAAGGTATTGGCTCTTTGGGTCATTTCTTGTCAAAGAAGTAATGGGACCATTTTTTTTGTTTGTTTGTTTTTTGAGACAGGGTTTCTCTGTGTAGCTTTGGAGCCTATCCTGGCACTCGCTCTGGAGACCAGTCTGGCTTTAACCTCAAAGAGTTCCCCTGCCTCTGCCTCCCGAGTGCTGGGATCAAAGGTGTGCGCCAGCAACACCCGGCTAATGGGACCCTTTAAGGCAGAATGTGTATTTAGAATATCAGGACAGCACTACAAGGTATGGTAGTTTGTACTGCTAGTTACAAGGTGAATTTAACTATCATTTGCTTTGCTCAAATACATGTGGAATACATTAAAATGGAGGAGGAGACGTCTTCCTTTACTCTCAGAGTCTCAGCTGGGCCTGAGAATGAAACCGAATAGATTCACAGGAGAAAAAGGCACAAATTTTATTGAAAAAATTTTTTCATGTGACTAGTGTCTTCATACGAACCTGAAGGCCTATGTGGATATATTTTCATACCAGCGGCCATCATGCAAAATTGGCTAGGATGTGGGTTTAATTCTAAGAGGTCTGTTATAGACCTCTCCATTTCAACTTCTCTAGATGGTAAAATTTGCCTTTTTTTTTTTTAAGAACATGCCAAAGCAACACACTGTAAGCTGGTACGGCAGCACGATGCACACAGCGGGTACCAACGGATTATTCTCCATTCACATACAGGCCTTCCATAATACTGTTTGCAAAGCTTATTTACAAATTTATTCTGTTACCTGTTTATGTCTTTCCCTCACTAGCTTTTAAGTTTCATAGAGGACCGGACTTCTTTTTTCTACCTGGGAAATCCTTGAGAGGTTGTAAGTGCCTAGGATAAGACAGGAAAGAACTCAGTCAATCCCGCGGCTTAAGAGTCACCATTTCATTGCCAAAAGCTTCACTGTGTTCCTCTTCCTCCACACGGTTCCACGCGGAGGGATGTACCATCCAATCCTTGATAAGGGAAAATGAGAGATTGGACCAAGACTTGCAAGGTGAAGCTGTTGAGTTAAACGAATCAGCAAGTCAACGCTGCGCTCTAGGACAACCCAGCAAGTGGCAGTGACTGCAAACAAAGACTGGAAGGTTGGCAGGACCGGAAGCCCAAAGCGAAGGACTGCAGCCTGGTGCGGGAAAGGAGCGAGGACTGACGTAAGAAGACACGGCTCCGCCCCCTCCCCGCGGGGCTGGGGCCCGCGGGGGCACGCCCCCCCCCGCCCGCCCAACCACACA